TATTAGCGTGATTGCTTTCGCGACATCAAGCCTGCCTAAGGCAAGTTTGTGAACAAGTCACATGCACCGGCGTAGCTCAGTGGTATTCACTGGGCTGGTTCCCAGCAGACCTGGGTTCGAGCCCCACTGTGTCATTGGTGCTAGGTTTTTTTTTTTTTTATAATTTCCTGCAATGTGCTTACGGACAACGGCAGCGGTGGACAACTGCGCGTGACTCGAGTTGTGATCTTATAACAGCTTTTGCTGTAAAATTCCACATCATGTTCATGTCCACTTCTGCACTGCCATGATTAGTAGAGCAAAAAAGCAATATGAGAAAGCAAATTCTTCAAACCTTGGGAAGTTCCATGCCTACAATGGTGGGTAAACCAGACTTGAACATAAACTAAAGGTAATTAATTACACTTCTAGCTATTTTATAACCTATCAAGTTTTTTCTGTAATCAACAACAAATAACAGTTCTTAATACCAGTTAATGCTTGTTCTATTCTCATCTTGTGAATGTGTGTCTTTTTGCGCTTGAAATTCCCATCAACCTCTTTGAGCACATGAATTTGGCAGAAACATGATTGCACATTTGGAACAGACCAAGCATTCTATTCCTAATCTTGACAGTCAACCAGACGTTGGTGGACCAATCTGATGGGCAAAAACAGATATATTCAGCATATAAATATTAATGCAGGGCCATATTCATATTTAAGTTTTTAACAGTGCAGTTATTTAAGGGGAGACATGGGTCTTAGAAGGCCAAAAACCGCGAAAAAATCGACTTTTTGACGTTGAGATTTTCAGAATCTGCAACTATTTTAGCACTTATCTGAGAAGTTTCTAGCTTCTCGCATCATTATTTCTGGCGCAAAACCAATTTATAACACCTCTGTGAGATGAATCTGCGCACAAATAGATGCTAAAATCTCGCTTTTTCCATGCCGAACCGTTGCTCTTACGCACATTTTGGTCTCATTTGGAAGAGTCGTTCTTCATCTTCAATTTGCCTCCCCCGCTGGCTCGCCATGCTCATTAGTTTTTCAGCAAATACGGGTCATCGAGAAGCACCAGCGCGCGATTCTATTGGCTGATTGAGGCACGCGACAAAATCTAGGCATCCAATTGACCAAGTGACGTTTCCGCGGCGCCTGCTTTTTCATGATGACACGCACGGACATGCGCCGGTTTGTCATGGTGCTGTCGACTGCCTGCTGCAGTAAAAAAGTTCCGCGCCACAGTAATTCGTAAAGCGGGTGTGGCGATTGTTCGTTTTCTGTTAAATTCAGAAAGAGGCTCGCTATGGCTCAGGACAGCCAGGGTAACCAACTCGCGGCGGTAAACGGCGGTCGCCGAGTCACCGATGTAGGCCTAACTCACGTACGAGCTTGTCGGTTGTCGACAACGTCGCTGAAAGCGGCTGTGTTTTGGAGCCTGAACAGTTAAGGAACGGCAAGTAAAAGAGCAGAAGTGAAGCTACGAGAGATACCAATCTTTGCAGGGACAAAATGGAAGTGCAGTCTTATCACTAAATGTGCCGATGCCGCGGTTGCCCCCATCTGACGAACGAGCTCATTTGTGGGTGAACTGCTGCGTGACGGGTCGTTAGAGTGGAGTTCGCCGCGCGTCGACGAACAAAAGAAAATCAATCCGTTCGCGGTGAATGTGCTCGCCGCCCACGCAATGGAGGCTACTGGCAACAGTTGGACTGCTTTGAACGACACATTCGCAACGATGAACATATTGTCCCGCGGTCTCCACTCGAAAATGTGGCAACCTTACGTGAAAAAGAAACTAACACCTCGCTGCTCTTGCAGCCTTAAAATTGATGAGCAAGTGCGCGAGTTCAGTCTGCGACATCTACAACTCAATCTGGACAAGCCGGAAAACATCACTTTATCATACGAAGAATCGCGGATGACACGCGCACATTCGTCGCACATCAGCGTCAGTACCATCACCCAACTGATAAGCAGCCTAGTCTGCAGACAAGCCACGGCGACAACTTGCAGCAAAACTTGATGGAAACTACACACTCATGTTAATCAGTCTGATTACATGCCTGGTGCATATTAACTGACTAAGAGTATGTGTGCTATCATATCTTTCCCTCGAAACGGCGAAATGAAAGTTTTCGCCGTTTTTTTCTCATTTTTTCTGAACACACATTTTGACAACTTTCCTTGTTTGCTTCTTCTGTAAAAACAGACCTAAGACAGCTAGAGCTATATTTCTTTTTGCTCAATGTAGTTAACTGTGCACAGATAGCAATAATGAGATCCGATTTTAATATACAGCTTCAATTTTCGATAATCTTCATTATTTTTTTGTTTTTGATTACATGCAGACAGCGAACTTTATTGTGGTGTAATTCCATAAGTACTTGTTCAATTTTTGATCAGCTTGTACCATTGCACTTCTTACGCTTTCTAGTATCCATATATGTATTAATGATTGTGTAATGTTATGTAAACAAATTTGCATTGTTTGCACAAGAAATACAATGTAATTACTAATTATATCAGAAAACAAATAACTTGCATAAAATATACTTGGATAGTTTAAATAAGCTCAACAAATTGAACAAGGCTGTGCAGTTTCACGTAATTTGGTGAAAAAAGAACCAACGTTATCTTTAAGACCCATGTCCCCCCCTTAAGCGTTCTGCAACTTGTACTCCATGATTCAAAACTGCTGGTACTCCAGTAACTCATTGGCAAGCAGAGTGAAATCTTCAGGATAGTGCAATGCAACTTGTCGCTTTCACCGCTGCGACTGTGCAGACATCTTCTGCACAAATGAACCAGCAACCCCACTCCGTCCTTCAATCGCATGACCAGAGCACGATGGCTCAACTGAAGCGCTCGCCCACAGCAGTCTGAGTAGCGGGGATAGGTAATGCAGCTAGTCATGTAGTATACATCCTTTGCTTCAAGGCCAAGCAGAGATAAACAACGAAACTCTATCGAAAAGTCCAATAATTCACTTTCAAAACAATGAAGCAGTTGGAGCCCTCACTTTTACCAGACACCTATCAAACACAGCAACTCCTGTGCTCTGGAAATCTATGACACATTTGTAATGCATTCTTCAAGGCCTTTGTGCATCAATCCGCTATCACTTGAATTCATTGACAAAAAAAATTAGCCACATAAACTGGTGTGAAATTCTATGTCTTGGAAAAGGTACCATTCATCTGCTTATTCATTTATTTGAAATACCTGCAGCGTCTAAAGGCATTATTGCTGGAGGGGGCGGGAGAATGCTCAAGGCTTACATACAGTTGGACAGACAACTCAGCATACAATAGTAACACATCAGCATCATCATCATCAGCCTGACTACGTCCACTGCAGGACAAAGGCTTCTCCCATGTTCCGCCAGTTAACCCGGTCCTGTGCTAGCTGCTGCCAATTTATACCCGCAAACTTCTTAATCTCATCTGCCCACCTAACCTTCTGTCTCCCCCTAACCCGCTTTCCTTCGCTGGGAATCCAGTTAGTTACCCTTAACGACCAGCGGTTATCCTGTCTACGCGCTACATGCCCGGCCCATGTCCATTTCCTTTTTTTGATTTCAGCTATGATATCCTTAACCCACGTTTGTTCCCTAATCCACTCTGCTCTCTTTTTGTCTCTTAAGGTTACACCTACCATTTTTCTTTCCATTGCCCGCTGCGTCGTCCTCAATTTAAGCTGAACCCTCTTTGTAAGTCTCCAGGTTTCTGCTCTGTAGCTAGGTACCAGCAAGATACAGCTGTTATATACCTTTCTCTTGAGGGATAGTGGCAATCTACCTGTCATAATTTGAGAGTGCAAATACTCTCAAATAGTAACACAACTAAGCTATAAAAAAAGTACAAGAATATATCTTTAAGCTTGAAAAAATAAATGCAATACATGTTGGCAGATAGTGCTTCTGCTACCTTTCCTTTCTCATTCCCCAATTCTTCCGTGCTGTGTTCAGTCATAATGCCATTGCAACATGCTCAAGAGACTACTGTTAAATTCCAAGCAAGCCACCGCCCACGAAGAAGGATAATTCGACCAGATTTGGGAGGTGGGCGCTTGATCGGTTCCAGACTAGTCACTGGAGCTTATTTCAGACCTCCTGAAAATGGGAGGGGGGGGCACTTGCTCGGCATTTTACAGTTCTCTTCAGAAAGCTCTTGTTGAAGATAAGTAGCTGGTCAAGGGCTGCAGAGGACACAGTAAAGCAACCAGGTCAGCTTGGTGCATTTATTATATCTGCATAATGTTGAAGTAACATAGAAGCACTCAACTATATTTAAATTATTTTCTTTGAGCACTGATTGGTTACTGCAACCATTTACACTTTAGAAAAAATTAATTGCAACCAGTTACTTCTTTTTTAAAAACAAGCACACAACAGGTGACAACTTGAGAATGCAATAAAAGACACTGGACTGCATAATACAACTGCTTCATTGCCACTCACAAGAACAGTCTCCACTCTTTTGTATTGCACACCTTTGCCTCTTTAGATGTGACAAACAAAAAAAGTTGCATTGTGTATCTGATGTCATGGAGAGGAAATATAATGCACAAAGAATGAAGCTAAATTTTTCTCACAGAATGAGCAAATGTTTGTGCACTTTGTTGCTCAGTCTTGATGGGGCAGCCATGATGTATCATATTTTCCTTTCAACAGACAAAGGTATGGATTCTCTAATGCAGAAAAGCGATTAAGAGAGGATCAGCTTTTAAGTAGCACACAATATTCACTGAAACAGGTGGAGAAAACAAAAGAATAGAGAGATGAAAGACAAACGAGTAAAAACTCGTTATATGTGCCATCCTTCATCACATTCACTTTTTTCTGTGACATGAAAGTAGATTGAAGACAACTTGGAATACCGGTGTCCCTGGAAAACCTACGAGATTATGGAGGCACAGAGTTCAGGTGGATAAAGCAGCTTCCACCAAATCATGGACTGTCCTCAAGCATAGGCAACAAGAAACAAAGAGCAAAAGCAAAAGAGTTACATCACCTTGGAGGCAAGCAGAACAGCACCGAGGACAACCCGTCGCCAGCTGCAGGGAGAAATGTCCATCTCGGCATAAGTGAGCAGTCGCTCGAGGTACACGAGTGTGATGATGGCACACTCTGCACTCAGCTGGGCTGCGTTGAAGAGGGTGCGCACAAAGCGGTAAATGGTCCTGTGGTCAGGGTCACGCATCTCTGGAGGCTCCTTGCTCAAAGGGTGTAACCGTTCATCAAAGATGTCAATGGTGCGCTGCTGGCCACCTCGATCCCGAATGTGGTAGTAGATGGCTAGCGTGACACACTTGATGGTGCAGCGCAAATTGGGCTGGCTTACAGTACTGTCATCCAAGTAGATGGTTGAGCACGAGTTCGACTTCTTCAGAGGGGCCTTCTCCTGGAGCTAAAACATGAATTTATACAAATTATACACACTCAGTTAAAGGCACAGGTGCCTACAACACAATTTGACTTTGCGCGTGACAAAGGTAAAATAAAAGTAACTTCTGAGTTAACCACCAATCTTATTTCCAGAGTTCGTTTCCTTAAATAAAATTAAGGGGTGTCTTCATGGTGCTGAGTTGGCAAATGTACATGTTGCCACCAGCACGTAGTGGGTTGACAGCAAGAGCGGCTCTCAATCCGGAGGAAAAAAGATTGCGTGTTTTCTCTCTGTTCGAGAGCCAGCCACGACTGACGCATCGTCCTAGTGCTAGCTACCTGGTGGTTTAATAAATCCCCCAGTACTTGTGACTCATCGTGACAAAAACTGGTGGAAGTGCTGGGTAGTCTCACGGATGCTGCAGACCCCCCAGGAAGCCGCGATACGAGTCCAGTGCCAGTCAATACTCCCGTGTATCGGATCAGCCGCCGAATCAGGGGATTGCCTCCAGAAGCCGACGATACTGCTCCCACCACGTCGACAAATATGACCAGCGCTTCGGTGCAAACCTCGGCAACCGGCACGGGAAGCACGACGTCGAACCGCTACACGTTGGAAAGCCCACGCGCACCGGCGACGTTCCATGGCTCGGAGCACGAGGACGTTGAAGACTGGTTGGCGGATTTCGAGCGCGTAGCCACCTTGAATCAGTGGGACGACGCGGCGAAACTGGGTCGTGTCTACTTATATCTCGAAGACGGGGCACGTACGTGGTATCAAAACCGAAAGGAACAGCTGACGACGTGGCCCGAATTCTCTCGTAGACTTCTGCTGACCTATGCCAGTGCTGATCGCCAAGAACGAGCTGAACGAGCTATTCTGGCCCGCGTCCAGTTGCCAAACGAAACTGTGACCACGTTCGTCGAAGACATGACGCGCCTCTTCCGACGGGCCGATTCAAGAATGACGAAGGACAAGAAGTTGCGTCACTTGATGCACGGTGTCAAGGACCAGCTTTTTGCCGGCCTCGTGCGAAGCCCTCCGAAGACGGTCGCGGAGTTCTTGTCCGAGGCCGTGACAATGGAAAAAATGCTGCAGCAGCGATCCAACCAATACGACAGGCAAGTCAGTGGCATGTCTACTGCCGACATTTTCACCGCCACTAGAACCAACAACGACTGTCTACGTGAACTCATCCGTGATACAGTACGTGAAGAGTTACAAAAGGCTGGTGTAACACCTCATCCTACAGTTAACTTTATTGCAACTGTGATAAAGGATGAGCTGCACCAGGCCCTCCGGGACACCTTGCCTCCTGATACAGCTGTGCCAGCTCCTGCTGAATACCATCGTGAGACAACCTATGCGGAAGCCTTGAAACGCCCTGCTGCATCGCCGCCATTATTCGTCCATCCTATTCCTGCTGTTTCACTTCAGTCAGCGCAGCACGTACCGTACTACGAAGGCACGTACACGCCACCACCGTTGGCCTTTGTCCCCGGTGCTTCTGTCGCCCATCGTTCAGTGCAACCAGTTCAGTACATCGACGATCGGCGCACGTCTCCTCGAAAGTCTGATGTTTGGCGCCCACCTGATCGCCGGCCTCTGTGCTTTCACTGCGGAGAAGCTGATCACTTGTACCGCCAGTGCCCATATCGTCGTCTTGGGCTTCGCGGCTTCTCTGCGTACTCACCGCCACCCCGTTACGGCCAGAGACCGCGCGACATCGAAAACTACCTCTCCCAGCAGCATGCACCACCATCTGCCGGGCGCCAGTCGCGCTTGCCATCACCGAGGCGATTTTCATCAACGCACCAGCGGTATTCTACCACACGGTCTCCCAGCCCCCGCCGGGAAAACTAGCCCAAGCGACCTCTGGGGGCGGGGTCGCTGAACGTCGAAGCGTTGAAGACCTCCTATTGACGCAGAACTGTACAGAAACCGGTCCGACATCACATACTGCTGCAAAGGATGGCCGACTTTCACTCGACATAGCAGTGGCAATCGATGGTTGTGCAGTTAATGCATTAGTGGACACCGGCGCAGACTATTCCATACTGAGCGGGAAACTGACAACGCAGCTGAAGAAAGTCATCACACCGTGGCATAACTCGCAGATTCGAACAGCTAGTGGCCACGTCGTTACTCCACTGGGTGCCTGAGCAACTAGAGTACAGATTCAAGGGTATACATTCGTAGCAAGCTGCCTTGTTCTACGCGAATGTTTCCGTGACGTCATTCTGGGAGTTGACTTTCTACAGGAAAATGGAGCTATCATTGATCTGCAAGAGCGCCGCGTCACGTTCTCAGCCCAGCGAGCAATCAACGTGCAGGATGGTGGAAGGCGTGTCGACGTACTCCGTATTTCTGAACAGAGCGTGACGCTTCCTCCACGATCAAGTGTTTCAGTCAACATAACATGCTGTGGTTTGCGCGATGGCGATGCGGTGGCTGAGACAAATTCAGAACACCTCCTGCAGCAAGGCATTTGTGTACCTAGAAGTGTAATACACCTTCGTGATGGCCGATCTGAATTGCTCGTAACCAACTTTAGCAACGAGTATCGACATCTTTTCCGTGGCACTTTGATAGCGTTTGCCCACGAAGTAGCAAACATCACCAACTGTCTCACGTCGAACTAGTGGATACCGCCGACACGTCAATGAGTAATATTGACATCAATCCTGATCTGTCCACCGTTAACCAGACTGCGCTACGAGCGCTCTTGTTCGAGTTCAGGTCTTGCTTCGCAAGGTGCTCAAAGATCCGCCAGACGTCCATCACTCAACACAGGATCATCACGTACGAGGACGCACGTCCGATACACCAGAACCGCTATTGCGTATCAGCCAAAGAATGTGAAGCGATACGTACGCAAGTCACCGAGATGCTTGACTATGGCGTTATTGAACCATCTAACAGCCCGTGGTCATCTCCAGTCGCACTTGTCAAAAAGCCCATTATTTCACTTTTCTCGATCTCAAAAGCGGGTATTGGCAAATCGAGGTAGATCAGCGAGACCGTGAGAAAACAGCCTTCGTGACTCCAGACGGCCTATACCAATTTCGAGTGCTCCCTTTTGGCTTGTGTTCAGCACCGGCAACTTTCCAGCGAATGATGGACACTGTCCTCACAGGGCTCAAGTGGCAGACTTGTCTTGTCTACCTTGATGATGTGGTGGTCTTCTCTACCACGTTCGAGCAGCACCTTCACCGCCTGCGCAGCGTGCTGGAGGCTATCCGATCGGCGGACCTCACACTAAAGCCACAGAAGTGCCACTTCGGCTATAAAGAACTAAAATTTCTTGGACATGTAGTTAGCGCTGAAGAAATCCGGCCCGATCCGGACAAGCTTGCCGCTGTTGCCGAATTACCATCTCCTGTCGATAAGAAAGCCGTCCGGCACTTCCTTGGTTTGTGTGCCTACTATCGCAGATTCATTCATGGCTTTTCACAGATAGCAGAACCTCTGACTCGTCTCACAAGGGACGATATGCCGTTTGTCTGGGAAAACGAGCAACAAGCAGCTTTTGATGAGCTGCGACAGCGCATGCAATCAGCGCCCGTCCTCGCTCATTTCGACGATGCTGACACGGAGGTCCATACCGACGCTAGTAACATTGGGCTCGGTGCAGTGCTCGTTCAGCGTCAAGAGGACATCGAAAGAGTGATAGCCTACGCCAGCCGCTCTCTATCCCGTGCCGAGGCGAATTATTCCACTACGGAGAAAGAGTGCCTCGCAGTCGTGTGGGCAATCACCAAGTTCCGCCCGTACCTTTATGGCCGTCCCTTCAAGATAGTGACGGACCATCACGCGCTCTATTGGTTGGCAAGCCTGCGCGACCCTTCCGGTCGGCTAGCACGGTGAAGCTTGCGGCTGCAGGAATTTGATGTCACCATCGTCCATAAGTCCGGCCGTAAGCATGAAGACGCTGACACACTGTCACGCGCACCCCTTCATGTCGTCAGTCAGGAATCAGAGGAAGACGAAGGCTTTCTGGGCGCTGTTAGTGCATGAGACTTGAGCAAACGACAGCGAGATGATGCAGAGATTCGTCCAATCATTGATCATTTAGAGGGCCAGGGCGCAATCATACCACGTCATTTATCCCGCTCGTTGACGTGGTTCTGCCTGCGAGACGGTGTGCTGTACAAGAAGAACGCTCGTTCGAACAACCGTGCTTACCTCCTGGTGGTTCCTCGAGACATGCGAGACGACGTCCTCTTCGCTTGCCATGACGAACCCACATCCGGTCATCTGGGCTACTCAAGGACACTTGCCAGAGTGAGCGAGATGTACTATTGGCCAGGACTTTCAGCAAGCGTCAAGAAGTACGTCAAGAGCTGTCGGGAATGTCAGCGCCGAAAGCAACCATCTGTTAAGCCAGCTGGTTTGTTTCAGCCCATTCAAGCACCCTGCACGCCGTTCGACCAAGTCGGCATGGACATTCTCGGGCCATTTCCTCTGTCTGCACACAGCAACAAATGGGTGACCGTCGCGACCGACTACTTGACACGCTACGCTGAGACGCAGGCGATCCCACGGGCCACGGCTTCTGAGGTAGCATAATTTTTCATGCGCCACATCGTGTTACGACACGGTGCTCCTTCCAGTGTAATAACGGACAGAGGGACGGCATTCACGGCGCAGCTTACGGACGAAGTTTTCAAACTGAGCAACACCAGACACCGAAGGACAACTGCGTACCACCCGCAAACCAACGGACTTACTGAACGACTGAATAAGACCCTCGCAGACATGATCTCAATGTACATCGACGTACAGCACAAAACATGGGACCGGATCTTACCTTACGTGACCTTCGCGTATAATACCGCCGTGCAAGAGACCACGCGATTCACGCCATTTCGGCTTCTCTACGGCCGCGAAGTGCAGACCATGCTAGACTCATTGCTACCGTGTCAGGACGAAGACGAGTTGGCGACAGACGCCGAAGAATTCGCAGAGCGTGCTGAGGAAGCCCGGCAGCTCGCGCGACTGCACATCAGCCAGCAACAGCA